TTGAACCGCGGTCCCTGATGCTTTGCGAAGCTTGTTCTAAGTAGGTGCTTTAGACCACTGAGCCATCTCTCCAGCCCCATCAATAGAATTCTTTATCTCCAGGATTTTTGTTTGACACCTTTGCTTGGAATTTGTTTTTTTGTTAAATTTGTCATGTATATTTTGAACTCTTTCAACAGCTCCTCCAATTTTCTATTTTTCCCTAAACACATTGGTTAGCCTATTTCATAGTTCCCCTGTCTTTTGGGTTATGTCCTCTTTGAGTATGCTGGGTTTCTTTATGCCTTACAGCTTGGCTATCTGGGGTTTTTTTTGTTTCTTTGTTTTTGTTTTCCTCTATATTGATGCTGCTTGGGTTTGCTTTGAGAGATTTGGAGGCATTTTGTTGCCTTGTGTTTTCATATTATTTTTGGTGTATGTGCTGAGGAGTGAGCTTAAATAGAGTGAAGAGGATTTTTTGTTGGTGTGAAGATCTTTATTGTTAGGTTCTGTTTTACAGTGATGTGTCATGGCTTTGTTAAGAGCTCTTATTTACCACTTTACCTATTCTACTTAATTGGATTGCACCCTGTCAGTACAAAATAGGCCACCAACAATAGGTATCACATACCAAATCCTCTTATTCAGGCAGAATGACCTGTGCCTGGGCCCACAGAGGTCCTCATGATAAGAAATTACCTGTTGGCTAGAGACCATACTCGTAAGTGAAAGAAATTAAACCCACATGTGCAAACCTTGCATTATCTTCTTAGTGCAAAAACCTGAAAGGGAAATAAAATCTGAAGAGTACAGTAGATAAAAGAAAGAAATTACTGAGTTGAGGAGAAGGACAGGAGAGGGAGTGGGTAAAGAGATATATCTATGGGGACCAGGTAGATAGCTCAGTAGAATAAGTGCTTGCCTGGCAAGCGCAAGGTCCTGAGTTCAATCCCCTAAAAAAGAAAAAAAAGATATATCTATGTATATAAGCAGGATAGTTTGGAGAACTGTACTGTGGATTTCTGCTGGTCTATGGAAAGTAACAGATAATGCTTAAATGTTTTTGTTTCCTTTTCTTAATTCTTTGTCCTTTCTTGCTTTCTTATATTTTTTTTGTTCTTGCAATGTTGCATTCCTATATCTGGTGATATGAACAAGTAATTTGAAGACAACACTATGCAATACAAATACTGTGAAATTCATATTATTTTGTTTCATGAAATTCTGTATCATTTGTAATTTTTCTGTTTTAATACGACTTTGTATTGTCTTAAAAATAAAAGAAAAAATGACCTATTTGTATCTTTTTTTTTAATTATTTTTTTAGGGAAGGGTCTACAGGGTGTTCAGGGTCTCACTACTTGATTGGACTCGTAGTGATCTGCCTGTTTACAGCCCTCCAAGAGCTGGGATTACAGGCATGCGCCACCACGCCCAGTCTCAATTGCCATCTCAGCTTGCCCCAAGGGTGAGGTCAGCACAGCAGGCCTGGGGATCGAACTGCTGAGCTATTAATCTGTTGAGCTATTTGACCAGCCCTTACCTGTTTGCATCTTAACCTTTAAGTAGAGTTACTATTGTTCAAAATATTAGTGTTTAAAAAATATTATCTTCTTTGTTCTTTGTTGAAAATTGTTTCTGGTAAATTCCAGAGTAGAGAAAATTAGCATTCTCTTTATAGCTTACCTCTGCCACTTTTCAAGAGGCCTCTGGATTTGGGATATCATGCTGGTTGCTACCACCTTAGGATCAGATATATTCATGCTGTGAAACCAAGAATCACATCTGGCTCTGTGGGATTGATCCAGGCCCTGCTCCTACTCAATTTTCTATTTTTAGGTTTTTGAGGAAACTACATACTGAGTTCCTTAGTGGTTGTACTAGTTTACATTGCTACCAAAAGTGTAGAAGGATTTCTTTACCTCTACATCTTGTCAGCATTTGTAATTTTCCTTATCGTTTTTGGATAGTTCTGCTTACTAGCGTAAAATGAAATCTCACTGTTGTTTTGATTTGAATTTCTCAAGTAGCCAAAGATGCCAT